AGTATATATTAAGTGGAGACATACAGTGTCTCTCTTTCATAGCCCGGCTTGCTTCACTCAGCAGTAAATCTACCATATTCATCTGCTTTCTGTCAAATGCCAGGGTCTTGTTGCTTTTTATGGCTGAGTAGTATTCCACAGTGTATATATGTGACACTTTTTCAATCCATTCATCTGTTCGGGACATTTGGGTTGGTTCTATGTCTTAGCAATTGTGAATAATGCTAAAATAAACATAGATGTGCCAGTACTTTTCTGATTGAGCATTTTCCTGTCCTTTTGGTAGATACCCAGGAGTGGAATTGCTGGTGGTTCTATTTCTAGATCTTTGCAGTACCTCCGTATTGATCTCCACAGTGGTTGTGCTACTTTACATTCCCACCAACAACGTAGGAGAGGTCCCCTTTCACCACAGCCCTACCACCAGCACTTATTTTTTGTTTTCGTTTCTTTAATCTTTGCTATTCTGAGAGGGGTTAGGTGGTATCTCATGGTGGCTTTGATTTGTATCTCCGTTATTATGATGGATGTTGAGTTTTTTTTGTTTTTTTTTTTCATGTTTTTTGGCTGTTCATGTGTCTTCCTTAGAGAGTTGTTTAACTCATTTTCCCATCTTTTAATTGGGTTGATCAGTTTTTTCCAGATAAGCTGCTTGAGTTCCCTGTGTATTCTGGTTATCAGTCCCTTATCTGAGGCACAGTTCACAAAAACATTCTCCCATTCCGAGGGTTGCCGATTCACATTAATTACTGTCTTTACCTGTGCAGAAACTTCTTAATCTGATGTAATTTCATTTGTCTGTTTTGGAGATTATAGCCTGGCTTTGGTGGTCTTATTTAAGAAGTCTTTGCCTACTCCCAAACTTTCCCGTGTTTTCCACCAGTTTTATAGTTTGAGGTATTAGGTTTAGATCTTTGATCCACTTGGAGTTGATTTCTGTTAATGGTTAGAGTTAGGGGTCTGGATTATCTTTCTGCAGGTGGATACCTCATCTTTTTTTTTCAGCACTATTTGCTCAAGAAGTTTTCTTTTTCCCACTGGGTTGACTGGTACCATTTGTCAATAACAGTTTAAGTTTTGGTATTTATTTCCGGGGTCTGTATTCTGTTCTGTTGGTCCATATATCTGTTTTTGTGACAGTACTGCGCTATTTTTTCACAGCTTTGTAATATATTTTGGGGTCCAGGAATGAGATACCCCTACTCCATTCTTCTTGCACAGGATTGCTTTGGCAGTAATGGGGTCTTTTATGATTCGAAACATTCTATGATTGTCTTTTCTAGATCTGCAAAGACAGCCTCTGGTAGTTTGACTGGGATTGGATTAAATATGTAGGTTGATTTGGGTAAAATTGCCATTTTGACTTTATTAATTCTTCCAGTCCAGGAACATGGGATGTCCTTCCACTTTTTGGTGTCATTTTTTATTTCTTTTTTTAGATTTTCAGTTTTCTTTAGAGGTCTGTGACTTATTTGGTTAGACTTAGTCCTAGGTATCTTATACTTTTTGTGGTTACGGTGAATGGGATTCCTTTCTTCAGCTCTACCTCACTCTGCTTGTTATTGGTATATAGAAATGCTGTAGATTTTTGAATGTTGATCTTGGATCACTTACCTACTACTTTACTGCATTCATTTATCACTTCCAGGAGTTTTCTCAAGCCTTTGGGTTTCTATTTATAAAATTATGTCATCTGCAAAAAGTTAATTTCATCTCTTCTTTCCA